ACGCTTCTCGTATTCATGAGTTAAAAATAATGTTGTTTGTTGGCCACCATTGGTGAACTTCACTCAACATCCAAATTTATCGCAAACTTGCGGGAGCAACTTTTGCTATAGTTATAAAATATGATAGATTTAAAGCTGTTTTTGGCAGCAATATATATTCTTTTCTCCAAAAAAAGGTAAAGCTCTAGAGGAAATTGCGCCTCAAGACAGCCACAGCAAAATGTTGACCCATATTTACAATGGTCTGGAAAACCAGATGAGCACACCACTCCTCTACAGTTCACTGAGCCAAACCTTAGACTCCTGAAACGATTTCATAATGTTGACAATCCAGCCAAGATTTAATTTGATCTGTTGTTCTGGGACATGATTATTTGAGAAACTAATAAATACCATGAGTTTTTGGTGAGAACGGAACCAAATAAACACAAGCAAGCTTTTACCCCTGTCACAAGAGAAGAAATGGAGGCCTTTGTTGGCATTCTCATTTTGATGGGAATTGTTAAGCTCCCAAAAACGGATGTACCATGGTTTAGTAACTTGACCTTGGTGAATAAAACTGCAGTAAATGCTCAAGTGTAAACACGGCCTTAGTGTTCTTTGAACCCATGTTGTCCTTAAAAGAGACCAGTTCATCATCTGTATAGGTGACAATCGTTTGGTTTTCTGGCAGAGATACTTGACTTTTTTGGCATTGATAGCTGTTTGGTTTTCTTTTGCAACGCTTGTTGGGTTTTCCTCAGAGAGACCTACCCTTCCTCAAATTTTCTAAAAATCTAAATTTTACTTCAAAATTTGCCAGACATTCATTTCCTGTGAATTTGTTCCTTCCCAAGTTGACATTTTCGTACTACGAGTTACATTTTTGTTTTCATGATAGCAACAATTTTTGCTCGCGACTCACATCACCATATCCTCTCATGCACAATTGCAATTACATGCTAAAACCCTCTTCAATAGCTAATCAGACTGCAATTTTACCTTTAGCGATGCAATTCTTACAGAAATTTGCTTTGTTTTATTTTACTCTGTATTAAATGTATGCCTTAAAATGGTCCTGATCTTAATCTTTCTTTTTTTCTAGGAATTTTCATTGAAAAGTCTGAGGTTTGAATCCTCATGTGCACTCAGCCAGAAATTTGTCTTTCTGCTCTGCCATAAGAAGGTTTTGTAGCAATGTTGAATAAATTGCAGTTTGAATCATCACAAAGGTCTACCTAAATTTCTTCTTATGGCCAGCTGATAGAGCAGATGGTCCTTATGAATATTGACCCAGCTCATATTCTTCTGATCTTTCAGCTGATAAAGCGATGCACACATTTTTTGAGAGATAATTCATTTTTGACAGATATAACAGACAATTAGTTCTTGTGGCCCCTCTCAAGTTAACCTCAGGAAGCTTCAGTTGCCATTCAGTTCTGCAAATGCAATAATTTTTTTATGCTGTTCAGTTAAGAAGCAGACACTCTCCAACCTGGCTATAGTTGTTTCTATTCCTCTGACTTTGAATGTCAAGTGTGCCAGAGAAAAGGGAAAAGTAAATCCCAGCTCGAATACAGACAGTCGTCTGGTGGTTACAGCCAACAATTGAAATGGGTCTGGCCTCCAGGTTTGAGACCTATTTAACAGTTCAGTGGTCATATCAAATAAAAAAAAAAGCAAAAATCATAAAGCATAACAATAACAATGATACAAACATATCATTGCCGAGGTACCAGAGGATAGGACAAAAGTATGGGCAATCTGCACTGCACCTCTCCTCTGGACGCAAAAAGAAACAAGCACTGAGAGGAGCGCATGAAACTCTCCACCCAGCTGGGATTGCCTTCTCTGGGCTGACAGCATGAGGTTAAAATCCTCAAAAGGGACTCAGATTGTAATGTTTTTTCTTTCACTATCCTATATATGATACCATTAGCTCTTCTTCTGCAACATGATCCTTCAGCTGAAAAGAGAAGAGTGCTTGAAGTAAATGACATGTGCTTATAAACCAGTGGCAGATCTGAGAGAGGCCCCCACCCCTTATTTTGGGTAATGAAATAATCGTGGAAGGAAGAAAAGCCAGCACAAAAATACAAGTATAAAACCCTTGGTTTTGCCCAGTGAGCAGGAGCACTGACCAAAAAGCAGTCACTTGTAAGCTGTACCTTGCATTTTGAAAAAGACCTGACGGGCTGAAACCTATTTTGAACTGAGATAATTGTGGCACAAGAAAATTGTGGTAACAACTGACTAGACTACATATGAACAGTTGTTCAGTTTGGGACTGTGGCAATGAGAGTCTATTATCACAAAGTTAAAAAGTGTAAATGTACGAGAAATGTGGTCACTTCTATTGATCCAGGAGCATTGAGATTTGACTAAAAAGCCGTCACTCACAACCCAAACCTCGCATAAAGATTCTACATTTTGAAAAACCGGACATACTGAAACCTACTTTCAGTTTAGAAGCCATACATTCAAATGTATCAAATTTATGAGTAAAACTTGTCTTTTCTACATATGTATAATTTGTCAAAAAATTTTTGGATACTTGTCTCTGGAGCCTGAACCATGCATTGATAATTCTTATTCTTAAAATGTCCTTAAGCATATCTCATTTTACTTTGGACTGAGTCAATATTTATCAGAAAGCCAAAACATTTCCAGAATTGGGAAAAAACCTCACATTCAAGAAGGTTCAACTCGTGGCCAAAGTACTCAGCATCCTGCCCTCCCCTTACTAGGTGGTTGACAACCTTACACTTAACAAAGTAAATCTAAATCTTGAAATAATCTTTAATAAGTTTCATGCAAGTCCCACCTCCACCCCCCCCCCAACAATGTTGCCAGAAACTAGTCACCATTTTGTAACACCAAGAAAATTCAGCATATTTGATTGATATTACTCATCACAACCTAAAACATGGTCAACCAGACCAGCTATTATTTGGGAGATGTAAATCAGTTAAGAATTAAGACCTACTTTAATCCTTAATTGCAATGCAATTTTTCCTTTTACCAAACTTTCAAAATTATTAAAAGTGTCCTTGATGTTTCTGCTTTTAGCAAGTATCATGTATGATTACTCAAAAATTTTAAATTCAAAATACAATCTACCTACTTCTTTGTTCTCAATTGAGTTTTGTTTGCATCCCATGACAGCTTTTTTTATCACAAGCTTGCTTTTGTAATTGTTCTAATCCCACTTAAAAGAAAACAATTCACAATTGTATAAAGTGTCAATCACATATCATTATACGACAAAATCACTTCCTAGCACCAGAAATCTAATGGAATGAATCAATGCTGATGCCGTGACTTGATGCTTAAATAAATTTCCTTTGTTACAAGATATCCTTGACCTACACACACATGTACAACTGACCTTCTTGAAACTTTAGTATCAGTTCAAAGCTGTTTGCTTCAAAAAGTGAAGAACGAACATGTAGTAGGGGTTTTCCTGCAACCAAAAACCCCTGTGAACATGTAGTAAGAGTTTTCCTGCCACCAAAAACCCATTTCCTTGTTTCCATTTAAATTTGAGTCTTCATTCGTACTTTCTAGCATTAGCTAGGCCCAATACATTCAGCACAATGTATGTCACAATGAGGCAAATATCAACAGGAGGGCCTTCAAGATTTGATATGAGAAAATTGCATGCTTTTTTGTCAATTCCATTAACAACTCTGTAAACAAAGCATCCAAACAAAGCAATTGTCTGGTTATTCTACAATTAATTCAGAGTTAAGGTAAGTAGGAAAAGGAAATGGCAGAAAGACGATTACACAATAGCGGACAAAATCGAGATCATAATGTGCTTCCAGCAGCAATTAGAAATAGTAATATGTCCGAAGAAGGCATCATACTGCTGGAGGAATTTGATCCACAGCAATCATGCTCTGGTGACCGAAAATGAAAAGCTGCAACAGCAGCAAGAGGGCAGCAACAAATCAAACTTTGAAGCTCTTCAGCAGATTGAGAAGCATCTTCAAAATGGTGACAATGGAGCCAAAGTCCATTGGTGCCAATACAGACAGAAGCGAAGGGCAGTAGTAGTTCCACCAGCTTGTCGAGTGAGTAGAAGAACATAACTGATGAGCATGAATAATGTGATATATGTTCATAATTTGCTTCATTCAGTTTTGTTTGGTGGAAGATTTGCTTTCATGTCGTGTATGTGTTTGGCACACAGAATTTTATGCATAACTCAATTATTTAGGCAGTAATCATGTGACATAATTATGTGTGGTTACATTTGCTTGATAATCCTTTTTACCATAAACAGGTCTACCAGAAAAGTTGTTTCCTTCCCGTTGTTTCAACAAGAATTAACCAGTATAAAAATTCCTTTTATTATTTTTTACTCGGACCCCTTTTGACCTTCCCTGTTTTAATCACACAGATGGCAACGTTAATTGTACTCGTGTTGATTCCTCTACATTTTCTAGCCTTTAAACAACCAGGGTTTTTAAAAAGCATGAAAATAGAAATAGGGTTGAGTAGCACCCTAATCAATGTTATTTTTACTAATCTTCCAGACATTATTACTTGTTCTGGAGTGTCTCATATAGGAATTAATCAAGCCATTACCAAAGGAATCTCCATTAACTTGCTGTACCCAGCTTCAACCAATTTCTTTAACTGCTGTTATCATGAGACTCTTTGAACGATTGGTCTATAGGTTTGAGCTTTCCAATATTTGTAATGACTTTATTGATTTTGATAAGTTTACCTATCGTGATGGCCATAATTCTACAATGGCTTTAATCAAATGCCAACATACATGGTTAAAGTGGCTCGATGGTAATGCTGATTTTGTTAGAATTTTTTCCTTTGACTTTAGTAAAGCATTCGACTCTGTATCACATAATATTCTTTGTAGTAAATTGAAGCAAGTTAATATTAATCCATATATTATTAATTGGCTTATTAGTTTTTTAGATCATAGGAAGCAGAGGGTTGTTGTCAATGGCTACAGTACTGAATATGTTTCTATAAATAGGGGCGTTCCCCAAGGTACAGTCCTAGGGCCGGTCCTATCTTCTATTTTTATTAATGATATTAAAGCTGTTAACACTGATAAGAACCTTCTAGTTAAATTTGCTGATGACATAACTGTTAGTTTGCCGATTGAGGCAAATGTAGGCTTGGATGAATCTCAAATAGAGGTCTTATCCTTTATTGAATGGTCTGAGAAGAACCACATGAAAGTCAACCTGACGAAAACATGGGAACTTCTCTTTACGAGGTAGAACTACCAAGACGCCTCCTGAACCACTTGAGATTATAGGGAGGAAAGATAAGCTGAAATTATTGGGTGTTACCTTTGAGCAAGTGCCAGTTAATTGGGATACTCATATTGATTCTTTACTGAGTAAGGCTAGCAGTAGGTTGTACATTTTAAGAATATGTAAATATTATGGATACTCTAAGGAGAATTTGGACTTACTCTTTTAAAGTTTGATCCTTTCTGTTTTTATAAATGCTATTGAGGTCTGGGGGTGTGCTTTTTATAGTAAATATTTAAGTAGTATTGATAAGCTCTTTGCCAGGTGTTATAAGTTAGGTTACTACTTAAAGCAGTATAGTATCTTGGATATTCGTCATGATAGAGATATGAAATTATGGCGAAGGATCTCTTCCACAAACACTGCCTTGAGGGATCTTTTACCTCCCCAGAGGACACAGCAGTTGAGAAGTATGTCACATAATTATATTCTACCTACGGTCCAGACAAGTTGTTTTAAATCAGTGTTTATCAATAGATGTCTTTTTAATAGCAATTAATCATTATTTCTTCATGTAATTTGTTGCACGTCTGTTTGCGCAATGAATTCTCAATAAAGACCTTTATTATTATTATATTATTACTATTAATTAGCAATCACAGATTGATCTACGTTTACTGCAAAATTTCATCACCTTCTGTTATCAAGGGAACTAGCGCAAGACAACCTGATATAGACAACCTGAGCATTTCAATTGTAATAGCTTTTGCTCTGACATTTTAGCCAAACCATGGGATGATCTCAAAGGAGTGCATAACCTTAACAAAATGTGGCTAAAAATGGAAATCTTTGTTCCAAAAGGTCTCATGTACATGCCCCCCTCCAATCTAAGCACGTTCATGGTTCCAAAAGTCTGTGGATTACTATGGAGCTTTAAAAAATGATGCATTTTAAAGGTTGACTTAATGTAGAGGCCACAAGGTCAGGTGACCCTTACGACTGGAATAATTTTAAGAGGTTTTTTTAAGAGTGATTCTGTTTTAAGTTCATATTGTTGGGGGGACTGGGGTCCAATGGCGGACACACGCGCCATCATTAGGCTCTTCGTATTTCTTATTCTTCTAGCCCATCTAGCGGAGCCTAGGTTCACCAGCTTGATTTACAGGACGGCTAAAGATACTAACCTGCCAGTCGGACCATCTCTCAAACTGGAACTGGTTAAATTTCGCCGGAAACATCGAGTTAAGTTCGCTGTTCAGAAGACTACTAAACATGGGCCTGTTATGATATGTCTGCCCGAAGCAGCGTTTGTCCTGCTGACCCGTCGGACTAGAAAACATCATTAGAAGTGGTGACGTTCACCCTCTACCAGGACCCTGTTTAATTCAAGACCAGCAAAGGACTTCTGACCGAACCCGACCAACAATTGCGTATTCTCCTTCGGCTTTTGCGTAATTTGGCTGCCTCTATTAATAGCGTCTCTTTGCGTCCTGAATTAAAACACCGACTCCAAGACCTGGGCATTCTACGCTTTCGGAATACCTTCACTCAAAAACACATGCCGATTCCTGTGATTTCAAGACCCTGTCAATCCAGGAATATTTACAACTCAAGATCAAGAAATTTAAATAATTGTGTCTCCATCTTTACTGGTGATTATGTGAATTCTCGTAGCTGTCCTTTTGTTCCTTGAACAATAGGAGAGGACGCACGATCGATTCGGTCAGGATCACACCTGCAGCGCAGAGCGTGGACCCAGTAAACCAGTAAATCGTCAACGAGCAGTGAAAGTAATCAATCTAACTAAGATTACTTCTCAAAAACGCCCCAATTACAGCTTCCCAAGTTTCTACATGGCAAATGCTCGATCGGTCAGGGACAAACTGGACGAGTTGACTGCTCAGCTTTTAAAGTTTCACATGGATATTGCAATTATTACGGAGACTTGGCTGCATGACTACATCGATAATAACATCCTTACCATTCCAGGTTACAACATCGCGAGACGTGACCGCCACAACCGAATAGGGGTGGCGTGTGCGCTGTCGTGTCTTCAGAGATACCTTTCAAGCGTAGATCTGACTTGGAGTCTCAGAACACGAGTGTTTGTGGCTATGGCTACGCCCTCATCGTCTACCACGCCCACTATCTGGTATTATATGTGGGGTGGTGTATTTTCCTGTGGCCTCTGCGCAAGTGCAGCGAGATCGCACAATGTACATCATAGAAACACTAGACTCCGTAAAGACTTCTTATCCAGACTGTGGTGTAGTGTTATTAGGCGATTTTAACACCCAGGACATCTCAGACATGTTAGCCAATCATAACCTAAAACAAGTAGTTATCAGACCCACTCGGGGCAATAGCATACTAGACCTTATTTTAACGGATTTTTAGTGAATACTATAGCGAACCAATTGTCAGCGCACAATTAGGGTCTTCGGACCATAGCTCTGTTCACTGGAATCCGCTTTCAATGAACCAACTAAACCCGCTGTGCGTTGAAAAGAAAAGGATCCCGATGCGTCGCTTTCCTCAGTCGGCAATAAACGCTTTTGGGAGGTGGGCGTGTTCACACCGTTGGTTCAGTGATTTAGAAGTAGACAGTGACTCACCATCAGTTGACTCTCTCACTGACTCATTTACTAAGGATCTTTCATCAGCCAGCGATATCTACTTTCCGTCCAAATACGTGAAGATTCATCCAATGGACAAGCCTTGGATGTCACCTGAGATTAAGGCTCTCATATTAGAGCGCCAACGCGCCTATCTAAATGGCCCAGAGGAGAAATGGCGTCGCCTTAGAAATAAGGTCAGAGAGGTTATCACCCGCCGGAAATGCGAGTTCTATAAAAACAAAGTTAATAACCTCAAGAGCACTGACCCGAGGAAATGGTGGAGTATGGTGAATAAGCTTGCAGGGAAGGCTAGCAGCCCTAACGAACTCAGTTATACTGACGAGGAAGGCAGAATTATCTCTGGCGCGACTCTCGCAACACGCCTTAATGAGTTTTTTGTATCTGTAATATCTGACATTAAGCCACTTGATACAAGTGCACTGCCCTGCTACTTACCATCCCCTCAACCGCCCGTAATCGAGACACAAAGGGTCTACAAAAAGCTACTTGCCATCAGCGCCTTTAAGGCCCCTGGGCCTGATGGGATTCCGACTCGTATTTGGAAAGAATATGCTGCTGAGCTCGCTGAGCCGATCACGCGAATATTCAACACCTCTATTGCATCAGGCCCCTTCCCTACTGCATGGAAAGACTCTAATGTCACACGGTACCCAAGGTTTCGCCCATAACCAGTAGGGAAGATTTAAGACCTATCTCCCTAACTGCAATCGTCTCTAAAGTCCTGGAGGATTTCGTAGTTGAATGGCTAATTGAGGATGTTGTGCACCTCATCGATTTCAGCCAATTCGGCTGCCTCAAAGGAACTTCAACCATCTATTGCCTGTTGGATATGATGCACAACTGGTTGTCCTCTATTGACAAACCAGGTATGTTCTTAAGGGCCTGCTTCCTGGATTTTAGTAAGGCTTTTGACCATATTGACCACACTATCTTAGTCAATAAACTCATCCACCTTGAGGTCCGTGGTTTTATTATCCGTTGGATTTGCAGTTTTCTTTATGGCCGTCGCCAAGCTGTTAAGATTAAGAACATTGTATCCCCTTGGTTGCCCGTGCACGCTGGAGTCCCGCAGGGCACTAAGCTTGGCTCCATCCTGTTCCTCCTGATGATTAACAATCTCGCGATTGAAACTCCATTACTATCGAGCCACTGGAAATATGTAGATGACCTAACAATATCCGAGGTCATCCCATCAGGCGGTACATCGTCCCTTCAGAAAGATCTTGACGCCATTGCACAGTGGTCGTCGCACAATAATATGAACCTCAACCCAAAGAAGTGCAAGGAACTTGTGATTTGTTCGCTTAGAACACGGCCAGATCTTGGCCCTTTGTGCGTCAATGGACGTCCCTTAGAACGGGTCTCCTCACACAAGGTCCTTGGAGTCACTATCAGCGACACTCTTGGGTGGAATGAGCACGTGCGTGAGATTGTCTCCAAAGCCTCAAAACGTCTTTACATCTTAAGAGTGCTCAAGCGGTCCGAATTCCACCTGAAGACCTTATTAACATATTTTATGCCTTGGTACGATCGGTCCTCTCGAACGCCTGCGTCACTTGGTCTACTAGCCTACCAATTTACCTCAAGGACATGATCGAAAGAGTTCAGAAAAAGAGCTCTCGTATATTATTTTCGGCGCTGAGCTACAAAGACGCCATTGTGGCTGCAAACTCCACTCGCTTAAATGTGAGAAGAGACGAACTCTGCAAGAAAGTTTGGGGACGGTATCTGTGTGCCTGGGTCACGGCTGTACCACCTTATTCCACCAAAGCGCCCGATTGCCACGTTTATGAGTTGCGCAACAAAAACCATGTATCACTCTTTAAATGCGGACCGAAAGATTTAAAAATCTTTCTTTCCAACAATGGCGTCTAACGCCCAGTTCTTGTAGTCAAGCAAACCTAAGCGTTTTTCATTGGTATATAACTACTGACTCTTGTAATTCCCAGTCCCCTTAGACTTTTAATTTTAAAGTCAAATGTAAGATTGTCGTATTTTTTAAATATTTAAAGTATACTTGTAAATTCACATGTATTTCACCACTGGGGTGCTATTTTTGAATACTTTTAATAAACCCTTTATTATTATTTCTGTCGCAGGTTTGTGGCTCTGTTTTGTTCTTACCAGCCACTGTAGTTTTGTGTTGAATTGAACCACACCATAGTGGGGCGGTATCTTTTAGTTTGTTTGGAAGCTGATCGCTTACATTGATCAGTTTGCTGGATTTGTGCTTCATAGATAGCTTTCCAGAAGGGGTGGCATACATGCATGTTAATATTTATGGCTCAGCATTGGAATTGAACAAGGATGACGAGGAAGAAGACTTAAAGGGGAAGTACAGTCTAGAAAAATTTTACTTCTATTAATAGAACTTTTCCACAGGAATTCGAAAATAGTTGCCGTTTTGTCCAGTTTGCTTTGCAATTACGACAACAGCGCTTTGAAGTTGCTCTTATCTACCACTTTCGCGACTAGAAAAACGCCATCTTGGACATGACGTCAGCTATGACGTAGCAATAGTCAAACCTTGTTGTTCATCGCTTTGACCTGGTTGACTTGATTGACCTTTCTGACGAGTATTTCTAATGAGGGTTTCACTATGGTCAACTGTCTTGTAGTTAACTGCCATAATACTTACAAAAATACAAAAGGGAAAGGAGTAAGCTTCCACAAGCTACCTGTAAATGAAAATTTAAAGAAAATTTGGCTGGCAAAAATAAAACGCGAGGACGCTCTGCCGAAACCCGAGAACTGCTACGTCTGCTCAGATCACTTTATCAAGGACGACTTCAAGCGGAATATTCAGGTATGAATATTTGACCTTTGCTTCAAACTGAAAGCTATGTTTACCTTTCCCATACTCGAATTGTAATTTTTTCTTTAATTTTATTTAAAAGAACCACTGTAATAGCAGCAAAACAAATTGAAGCTCGCATTGATGATTGACCACATGTAGTAAATTCAATCGCGACCATGAGGCGCTTAGCCGTTTTCTCCCAAGAATTTTTCCCAAGCATTTTTCCAAAGCAGTGTTTATAATTATCTTATAAGGCACGTGAATATTTGTTTAGAATCACGGTAAAAAAGGTCTTCTAGTCACTCTGTGTAAATAACAAGTTAATGAGGAAAACCACTAGTGTGTTTAATGTTTGTTTGTTTTCCTTTCTTGTAAAAATACAGTCCGAGCTCCTTGGATCTGACGGTAGCAGGAAAAAGAGACATTTAAAAGATGATGCAGTTCCATCTGTTTTTCCCTATGCGCCTCCACCAAAGAAAATCCGACAAACAAGCGTTGGTAGGGCGAATCGCCAGAGCCGACAGGAGGTGGGGTGTGAAATATTAATGATGCAACTAACTACTGTTTTGTGATACCAGCCTATAAATGTAATCAACACCGTACATTCTACATTTCATCGTAGGTCTTGAACACCCTTCTTGAAAACACCCATTTGCTATCTTTAGAGCAAGAAAAGTCTTCGTGTTCAGTTGTAAAGGAAAACACTAGCGATACACTATCTAACTCCTGTGCTGCTTCGCCCTCTTCTCCACAGCTTGAAACAGAACCTTCGGCGAATCAACTTTCTTCCCCAAGCCGCACGGAATCTCAGTTTATCCGGACCGACGCTACATCTGCAAGCGCAGAACACCGCGAACCTGAAAAAAAGTTTACGACGTGTGGAAGACAATGGCTTGCTAGTGAAACAGGAGACGCGCTGCTTCTTCAAGATCACAACTATAGTTGTGTTCCACCATGGAATCCGCTGCCTTTATTCTCTAAGCCTGGGTCCCTTTGCACGCAGCCATTTACTTCGACCCCGATCAAAGCTTCATCTAGCCAACCACCTCGGCTTCTGGAACTCTCGATTAACCTGGAAGAAGATACTGACGTAACAATAGATGACGATGTGAACGACAATTCCCTTCAAGTCAGCTTTGATGATGACAATATCAACAACAGTTCCATTCAAGTCAGCTGTGATGAAGAGGCTGGGGAAGACAGTTCGTTTAACATCAGCTTTGAAGAAGTGGACCAGGACACCACCCAAAGTGATTTGGAGACTGATCCGCCCGTTAGTAACAGTCACGATACCATTTATGAGAAAATGTGTTCGTCTCCCAAGTACATAGTATTTGAGGAAGAACTGCTTAAGTTATTTGGCCGCTGTGTTGAATGCGGTGGCGAGGTTCTTGAAAAGGAGCTATTAAAAAAGGGAAGTGCACTTAAAGTAACGACACTTTGTAAAAACTCCCATTCGAAGGAGTGGGTTTCCCAGCCACTTGTTAACAGGGCGGCCGCGGGGAACGTATTGCTTTCAGGTGCTATAGTTTTTACAGGAAATACGTTTTCGCGTGTTTCAGAAGTTGCCTCTGCAATAAATCTTGCCTTTCTGAGCAAATCGGATTATCACAACTGGCAGAAGAAGCACCTTTTCCCTGTTATAAATGATCGTTGGCAGCAGGAAAAGGCGGCAATCCTCGCCGATCTCTTAGACAGGAACTCAGTCACTCTCCTCGGGGATGGACGTTGTGACTCCCCAGGCTATAGTGCCAAATACGGAACTTACACCATGATGGACAAAGAGAGTGAGAAAATTGTCGATTTCGAAGTTTGCCATGTAAAGCAGAGTACAAGTTCACAGGCAATGGAGAAACGTGGTTTTAAGCATTGCCTTGATCGCGCACTAAATAGTGGCATTCCTGTAGGTGTTGTAGGTACTGACAGGCACACCGGTATCAAGGCACTCATGAGAAGCGAGTATAAGGACCTCGGTGTTGAGCACCAGGTAGACGTGTGGCACTTGACTAAGAACATCAAGTCCAAGCTAGTCACGAAAGCCAAGAAGAAAGAATGCAGGACCTCTCTCCTTGGATAAAATCCGTGACAAACCATATGTGGTGGTAAGCGATGACATGTGACGGAAATCCCCAGCTCCTCAAAGAGAAGTGGGTCAGCATCCTCCACCACACGGCTGACAAACACGATTGGGATTCGACTTTGTGCACACGAGCCCATTTCCCCAAGGGCACATCGTAAAACGAAATGGCTAGTCGCAGGTTCCCCGGCACACGAAGCGTTAAAACACGTAGTGCTAGAGAAGACACTCTTAAAGGATTTGGACCTTCTAACGAAGACCATCCACACAGGGGCCTTGGAAGTGTACCATTCACTCTACAACAAATACGCGCCCAAGCGGCAACATTTTGGATACCTGGGAATGGTAGCGCGTACACAGCTAACTGCTTTAGACCACAATTCGGGCACTGGTCGATCTCAAGCAGAGGCTTCGAGTGGGGAGAAATGATTCCGCTATGTTTATCCTAAGCGGATGAAGGATTGGGTTGTAAGGCCTGTTTTCGAAGAGAAGACCAAGCCGCACGTTACGGAAATGCTATGCTCAGTGTTGGAGATGAGAGACACAGGAGAAGAGCCAGAGCAAGTTCAAGTCCCTGATCTCCCAAAAAACATCGCACCCATTCCGCGCCCACCAAAAGAGGACCTTCTCGCACGGCATGTATCCAGATTTGGAAAAAAATTAAGCAAGTGAAAAAAATAGAAATACAAAAATCGAATAGTCCGTCTAAAATGGCACTAGCATTTACATTGTCAGTTTTCTATTTTTGGAACAGACTGTTGAAGGTATTTTAATGATTGGAACTGGAGCCGATACCCCTATAGCGCCGTGGACCTCCTTGAATGTTTAATAAAAACAAAGACAAGTTTATTAATTAAACGTGACTATCCCGGCCATGAGTCATTGTCCTCGGCATCTTTTAATGCCTGTATAATTTCCGGCTGCATCTGGGTAATTACGTCTTATTGATGCCACAACACACGAAGGAATCACGCGTCTGTTCCCTTTACCAAGTCTGTTATAAGTCCACCAAGTAAACTGTCTATAACCTGCCAATCGCATACTCCTAGGAAAAAACAAAAGACATTGATACATGCTCGGAACAGAACCCAGACAAATGCAGTTGAAACAAACAAATTCTACTTCGCCAAGCAGGGGCTCATTTGAAATGAGATCAATATCTTAAGCTAACATTGTGTGACAAAGGGAGACTTCCTGGGGCTCGCCGTTTGACTAAGGCTCTATTTACAGGTAGCAAGTTTCCCTTTCTTATTTTCCCTCATTAAGTGATGTGATGATTCTCATAAGAACTCCTTCTTTCAATTTTGTCTCGTCCACGTCCATATTTACTCATAATTTACCTCCATTAGGAAAACAAAGCACACAAACTGAAGAGGTGTACTGGCTCTTTACAATTAAATATAGCGATGAAGTTCACCCTTCAGACAAAAGACTACAACACCACTTGTATTGAAAGGGCTGACAACACTGCATTTGTTTCTTAGGGTTTGCGTCACACGAACTCGTAAACAACTAAAGCGTTTTGTTTGCATGAATTTTGTGAAAAATATTTATTCTGTCGGTGCTTACTCATTTGACGGATAATCTTCAAGTCTGTCATTTCTCACTTGGTGCATGCCAACTAGGGCTGTTCTCAAGACGTCCGCTAGTAAACACACGGGTCCAAATGATCCGTGCTCTGTAATACACTGAAGCTTGTTACCTGCAATTTCAGTGATAGTTCATATCACTCAGTTAGCAGGGTGAAATAAATCCATTGCGGGCACTGCGCCGTTCTTTAGTAAAAAAATAAAAAATTATCACTTCAGAAACAAAGATTTTATTTGAGAAGAATTAATTATCTTCCAGATCGAGTCGATCACCTAGTACATCCATTTCTTGGCAGCATATACACTCGTTTTCTGTTGGCATCTCTTGACAGTTGCCGCAAGAGCACCATTTGCGATTTCCAAGACGTGAGCGCGTAGATGTATCTCTTCCTGAGTTTCTTTGTCAACAGAAATTTCTTCTTCTCCTGAAGATGAGCTATGTTGCGGCTCAAACATGAATGGACGGATTACACCGTCTGGATTAAGATCCAAGTCGAGAATTGAGTCATTATCGCTCTCCTCGCCGCTGTTTTCTATGTTTTCATCCATCTTAGTCGACATTACAACGCTTGACTATTGCTATGTCATAGCTACGTCATAATAAAGATGGCGGATTTCAATTCCAAAATGTCAATTTTTTAAACGTAATTTCTGGCAACAAATACACTTAAAGCTCAAATGAATTGCCAATTATGAAAAAACAAGTCAGAAACTTTTGATATAGGTAAACTTTTTCTAGACCGTACTTCCCCTTTAATTAAGACATAATAATTGCCAAGGCGAGATATTTTGAGTCACCATTGCACGCAGCACCAAATTTATTTTCTACTAAAACACCTGAATTGCTTCTTTCTGCTTCAAGAAACAGAAAATGAAAGAGTAACCTGTTCTTGATGAGGGCAGTGTGCGCAGAAGGGTTATAAAATCTAAAATCATTCTGTGTGTTCCTAGAAAATATGTTATATATACTTTAAGGACTATGTTATAATTTATTTTTTCTTATAATTTCTTATTTTTACTATTTTGCATCATGATATTTTTAGTCCTTTTAAGTATTTATTACAATTTTATTATATACAGATTTTATACTTTATATATGCACATGGGTTAATACCAGATGGTCTTTTTAGTCTATCTGATCGATTATTGTGCATTTCAAATAAAGCTCATTATTATTATCATCATCATCAGGGTTGTCAAAATAAGCTGGCAACCAACACATTTCACCGGCTATTCTGAATACTGCGCTGGCCACTCTGACAGCTAGGTTTGTTCTAGGCATGGTATTGCAGAAATAAAACTGTTCAGTTAATAATTCGTTGGAAGCCAAATCAGAACAGAGGCAATAAAGCAGTTATTTTGCCTAAAAAGTACAATAAAATGTGTGTGCCACAGATGTTGACACAATTGGCCATGCTTGCAAAAGCATCAGTCAGTGCAATTAGAGATTGCGTTAGTCAATGCTCGAGGTTTCAATGAAATTATGGCGAGTGAAGGCAGTGGAGCGAAACGAAATAGGACTTTGCTTGATTTCAATTTCATTACAAAGAAGAAGATGAGGGAAGATGAAGAGAATAAGCAAGAGAGCGGGCAATAAGATAAGCATCGATAAAAACTTGTCCTTTGCATGTTTCCCATTGTGTGGGAAAACAATATCAGTCAGTGGACAGACCACGGATCCAATACACCAATGTGGCAAAAAGAGAAGTCGTTCTGGTTCACTGGTTATTTTGTGACAGGGCTCGAAATAATTTCCGGAGAGTGACTGGCCAAATTCATTTTAGCTTGGTCATGTATTGTTTCAGTACTTTTGTGACACTCTTATTCTTTCATTCGAATTATCCTTTCATTTGTGTTGCTTTAGATACACTGTTGTTTATTACGACAGTGTGAAAATTTTGTAAACCCTGATTAAAACGTGTTTTGTGCTGGCATGTTGCTTAAACAATTAAAAAGAAATACCGAGACTAATACTAATATTGAAACGAAGAAGGATAATTTTAGAATAAGTTGAGCTTTATTTGCAAAACAAGAACTTGCAGCCAAATGCGTGTTTATACAAACATGAAGATCACGGATCGATCACGTGTTAACATGGCGCGTTCACTGCTCTTCTTGAGCTCCCGTTTTATTTTAATTTTATTACTATGTTATAGCCTTAGTCCTATAAGTATATGGCAAAATCAAATTCCAAGTGGTGAATCTCTCTTTCTGTCACTAAAATTGGACAGTAGAGTTTTTCCAAGTCGCAATAACGGTCCTCGAAAGGTGAATGGTGCTGTACTGCCGCCATGTTTAAAGGCCAAAGCTTCTCTTTTCGTTTTGGAAGTTGGATTGTCTACTCTATTTCTACTTATGTTAGCTGGAGACGTCTCTACTAATCCAGGGCCACAAACTGTACGTCCTGGGAGCCAAGGTATTGGTGAAAACTCAAGCTTTGTTTCGCTTACAAGCGATGAAGAGTCAGCTAGCATGGACGATACTGTTGAGTTTCATAATGACTCAGATGATTCTTCGCAAAATGATTTATCGCCTGATGGCTTTGACTACTTTAACCTACATCTTGGTCACAAAGGCATACGCTTTGGTTCTTGGAATGTCAACAGGCTTACGACTACAAAACTAGAACAAATAAAATTGTTCCTTCTTAATGAAGATGGTCGACCACGTTTGGATATTTTATCAATCAATGAGACGTTTTTGAAACCGCTCCTCCCAGATTGTCTATACTCAGTCCCTGGTTTCACAGTGCACCGAAAGGATCGGATGGGCCTGAAAAATGGTGGTGGGGTTCTAATTTATGTGAATGACGATCTGAAACATCGAAGGAGAGTCGACATTGAGCATAATAATAATATAGAAGCATTGTGGTTGGAAGTCTTTCCATTCAAATCTAACCGTCCCATTTTATTCGCCGGCATTTACAGACCTCCTTCAACTAATTTATCAGAGGATGAGGCCATCGAGAATATGTTAGAATTAGTTTATCTATTAAATTTAGAAACCATCATTACTGGCGATATCAACATTAATTTTATTTCTCCGGCGTACAAGAAACATCCCTTGAGACGTGCCTTTTCTAACATGAATTTCAAACAGCTCATTACTGAAGTTACTCGACCATCAAGCGGAACCTGTCTTGACTTTGTATTGTCAAATTTTCCTGAAAGAATTAAGTCTATTGTCGTCAAAAACAATGGGCTGTCAGATCATTTGCCTGTATTTGGAGTTCGTTTATATGAGGATAACGCCAAGCGTCAAAATAAATCTTTAACGATTAAATATCGTAATGTCTGAAGCATTTTGACAAATCCGCCTTCGTTTCCGACCTCAAAAAGTTCCTTGGAATACTGCATTTGTCTTTGACGATTTAACTGATATCTTAAATGCATGGATGGGTCTCTTCATTAACATCTTGGATGCCCACTGTCCGTGGCGAGTAAAGAAAGTAGCCAAACAAAATCAAGCTCCATGGATGACTGTGAATATTTTACAAGCGCTTCGAGAAGGGATTCTTTACTACGTAAAAAGCAAAGGCAAAGTCGTTGTGTCACGGATTGGAACTGCTTCAAAATCGCGAGGAATAAAGTTGTAAACATGATTCGCAGTGCGAAATATAAATACTATAATACCTGTTTCAACAACAACAAGGGAAACTCTAAAAAGATGTGGAAAACCATAAAATCACTAATGGGCGATGTATCAAAATCAGTTGAGACGCCAAATGTTGTTTTGGCCGAAAAGTTTAATGATCACTTCACTTCAATTGCTGATTCACTGAGGAATCTACTACCTAATGTACCTTATTGCAATTCAAAGGTTGAAAACTTTGTTTGTTCAAGAAAAGATCCGGATGTTCTTTTCAATATTCCTCCTGTTACCAAAGATTTTGTGCTGGGTGCTCTGTTGGGACTTAAAACAAACAAAGCTATGGGTATTGACAAGATAAGTGCAAGATATCTGAAAATAGCAGGACCAGCTATTGCTTATTCAATTACTCAAATCTTGAATATTTCAATTAATTCTGGTGTATTCCTGATTGTTGGAAGATAGCGAAAGTCATTCCGTTGTTTAAATCTGGGGACCGTGAGGATCCTGACAATTATCGACCCATTTCGATATTACCTGTTTTGTCAAAGATTCTGGAACGTCATATACACGATCATCTCTATAATTACTTATGTGAAAACAATCTATTGTACCCTTTACAGTCAGGTTTTCGGAAACACCATGGAACAGACACTGCTCTTATACGAGTCATAGACAATTTGTTATTTAATCTAGACAATGATCAAGTCAGCGGTCTTCTTTTAGTTGATTACAGGAAAGCTTTTGATATGGTTGACCGTGAAATTCTTTTGCAAAAGCTGAATGCCTATGGTTTAACTCCAGTTGCAAGTAAATGGTTTAGTTCATACTTGACTGATAGACATCAATTTATTGCTATTGATAATGTGACATCTGACTCTACTCTTGTGAGGCATGGTGTTCCACAGGGTAGTATCCTTGGCCCTTTACTTTTTGTCATTTATATCAATGATTTGCCTCTACATGTTAATGGTGCTGACCTGGATCTCTATGCTGATGACACCACACTGACATTATCGGCAGATATCTCAGCGGTTGATTCTCTACAAGATTCACTAGCTGCTTCTTTGAAGGAAATTGAATGCTGGACGCACACCAATAAACTTCCTCTCAATGAAAAAAAAGACTAAAAACACTACTGGTCACAGGCAAACGCCTTGGGAAGAAACTACCAGATGGTTATAATTTATCTCTTAAAACTATGAATGGTGTATCATTGGAACAAGTACCCTCAGCTAAACTTCTTGGTATAGACATTGACCACGATTTATCAATGAACACTTATGTTGACAGACTGTGTAAAAAAATTTCACAAAGAATTGGAATTTTGAATAAGATCAAACTTTGTTTACCATTTAACCAAAGACTTTTATTTTATAATAGTTTAATTAAGCCATTATTTGATTATGCCAATGTTGCATGGCAGTCACTTTGCTCTAATGAATCTCTTTTAAGAATACTTAGGCTACAAAAAGAGAGCTGCTAGGGTTTTATTAGATGCTGAACCACGTAGTTCATCAGTTATGCTATTCAATCGTTTAAAGTGGATACCATTTTATGACTCTACTAAGATGGCTAAATGTTCAATACTATTTAAAAGGATTAATTATTGTGTACCTAATTATCTTAATGATAGCTTAAGATTATTAAGTTCAGTACATTCACGCAACACTAGATTTTGTAAATACAACTTTTTATTACCTAAGTTTAAAAGGGCTAGAGAAGGTGGGAAAACTTTTCTAGTTTCTGCCATAAAATTATGGAATCAGTTAA